TTCCCCAGCCAGCACGCTGGCTGCGGAATGCTGGGAGTTGAAGTCTACCCATCTTAAAGTTGCCAAGGGGGAGAAACACTGGAATACACAATGCAGAAACAAGTTGGGTGATGGTCTGGTCCACCTAACAAGCTAAGACCAAGAATGGATTCCACAAACCCTGAACCACACAAGTACTCATTTTAACCTGGTTTAGCATGCTGTGTGACTGCAGCCTGTCCCCTTTCCAACACCTCTGCTTTGCTGCAGTGCGCTGGAGTGGAGAGTGAGGAAAACAACAATCAGCAGTCCCAGGATCTCTTCCTCCAAATCAACTTGCTAGGAAACAGACCGTGGGCAGGGGAGTCACTGCAAAAGGAGCTTAGGGTTTCAACTTTTTTTTTTTCTTGGCCCCCACTTCTGAGTTTATGAGAGCTGTAAGGCAAGAAGAAATTCAACAATTTAAAAAAGCAGGGGGGAGCCCCCAGATGGCATGGGCTGACCTCAAAACACTAGGCAAGGTCAGTTGGATTGGTGCTTGGATGGGAGATGACCAAGATATCCCAGAGTGGTAAACTAGACAGGGACATTAAAAAAAAAAAATACTAGGGGGAGGCAGTGGCAAACTTTTCCCATACTGTTGCTATATCAAAATCTTGATTAAATTATCAGAGTTAAATCTCGTTTAAAGCTGTTGGTTTCTTTTCCCACTGAGAATCACTTTTCCTTACCTGGCACTCTTTGGATGTACAACCAGTTCCCATAGTCCTTTGCCAATACAGTTAATGGCCAGGTGGGTGTAATGGCATGTAGGAATGAGGGAATGACCTTGGGAGATGGGGAAGAGATGCTGCCTAGGGAATGATCAGATAAGAGAGGGCATAGCCCACAGCTGCATAATGGATGGAGAAAGAGGCTCAGAAGGGACCCTCCCTAACTTCTCAGGCTGTAAAAGAGACAGTGGGAGATTTGTACTTTCAGACTTGCAAGATTCTGTCAATGTAGCCTTACAATAAAGTAGAATTAGCTCATCTGGTTGGGTTTATTTATTTAATAGAGGCTCAGAAGGGACCCTCCCTAACTTCTCAGGCTGTAAAAGAGACAGTGGGAGATTTGTACTTTCAGACTTGCAAGATTCTGTCAATGTAGCCTTACAATAAAGTAGAATTAGCTCATCTGGTTGGGTTTATTTATTTAATGACTTGCAAGATTCTGTCAATGTAGCCTTACAATAAAGTAGAATTAGCTCATCTGGTTGGGTTTATTTATTTAATGACTTGCAAGATTCTGTCAATGTAGCCTTACAATAAAGTAGAATTAGCTCATCTGGTTGTGTTTATTTATTTAATTTATTATTAAACTTGTATGCTGCCCATCTCCTGTCTGGTCTACCTGGGAAGGCTGACAGTGGGTGAATGATAAAGGCCCAGTCTGGGAAAGGCAGCAAGACTCCCTTCCTAAATGTCAATGGTTGTTTTTTTTTTTTTTTAGGAATAAATGATGCCAAATCCATTCCCTCAAAAGCATTTGGTCCATACAGCCACCAACCGGAAGAGCTCTCCTAAGATTGCATCACTTAAAAATATAGATACAGGTAATCCTCGTTTAGCGACCACAATTGGGACTGGCAACTTGGTTGTTAAACAAAGCGGTTGCTAAGTGAAACCATGACTGTGCTTATGATCTTCTTTCAATTTACCTTTGCTTTAGACTTGTGAAAGTTGTAAATGCAAGGATTGGTCGCAAAGTTACTTGTTCATCACCATCGTAACTGTGAATGGTTGCTAAATAAGGCAGTCGCTAAACGAGGACTACCTGTAGACCTACTATGGAGACATTATAGAAGAGTTGGGAGGATGAAACTCTTCATTGCTGAAGTTGCCAACTTTGGAGTAACCTCTACTTCTGTGACTTTAACTTAGACATGATGTTTGTTGCCATGTGATGTAAGCTGCTGATTTTTCTAGGTCAGGCTGCTATTAAATGCACAAGAGGCCATTTTTGGCAGTTTTGCTACCTGGTGAGGGAGTTGGCCCATTGGCTTTGCACTCCAAGAAGAGCTGTCCCTTCTTTCCACCCCCCACCCCTCCAAATAATAATCAGATGAATATGTACACCTAGCAACTTGGGAGACTGCTATACGCCTCTCATAAAGTGGATTGTAAAAGCATTATGCTATGCTACTTGTACGGTTCTCCAATGACATCCGGTTCTTTCTTCTTTTTGCTTCCAGGCTGTAAAATTCAGGGTGGTACATGCCTGTAATTATGAAAGGAAAAACAAAAACAGTTCCCAGGTACCAGCCCCAGAAATTGGCCAAAAGGACCCTGTTAGAAATGTTTGTCTGTTGAAAGGGAAGGCAGATTAAGAGACGTGTAGAATGGATTGGGCTCAGGGCCTCTGTGTGTGTGTGTGCGTGTGATGGCATTGGTGAGAACCAGCGGCATGTCAAGCTGTCAAAGATACACAAAAAAAGAGAGATAAATGAATTGCTGGGCTCCAGCGCGAATAAATGAACTCTCTCCTTTTGCTGGGCAAAAGGGTTATGTGAGCCAGACGGAAGGAGCAGCGCTCCCTCCCCGTGGGGACCCTGAGTGGGCAAGGAGAGGGGCGGGGGTGCCCGTGAGCCCATCTGACAAGGGAAGAAGAATGGCGGATGAAATGAGCA